AACATGTACGGCTGGAAGCCTTCTACACCAAACCAAGCTTCTGCCGCCCTGGCGTCCTCTTCCACAACATCTTTGTCCCCGCTTTCCTCCTCTAAATAAAAAATGGATGACGGAGGAGACTCATCCAACACTAAACTCTCCTCCTCTTGCATGTTTCCTCTGTCCATAGCGTTCCTTAACAGTGTCGTTTCTAAGGCACTAATTTAGTGCTACTTGGTTCCAATGGAATTTCCCATTGGAACCTACTAGCACTAAGTTACTAACTGGTTAGCAAGATGCTACCAACAAACCGGACACACTAAAACTTGCTTGCGAACTTTCTGCAACAACAATCCTGCCCCCTCAATAAACGACCAATCACATTCACTTTATTCACTCTTGTAAAGTCGTGCACTACCTGAGAGAAATAGGAAATGAAACGGTGTGAAAGGTCGTTTCCCTACGTCTTTAAAAGTAAGTAAAGTATTTTATGGAATTTTTAATAAAAGTTCATGAAATGTAAGACAGGGATATGAGGTTGTAAGAAAGTCATCACCCTAATGTGTATAGAGTAACAGATAAAGGTGAAGGTGGATGGATAGTACCAACTTCTAAGGTGTGGCCATAGGTATTCACAATGGGCAAACACCCTTCTGTCCCAGGTGAACAGACAGGTGATTGGATATAAGTTTTATAACTAAAAATTAGTGTTGCACCGATAACAATACAGCACTAAAATGGTGGTATTGGCGAGTATTCACAAATAGGGCACTGATACCATTTTCAGAGCCAAAAGTTTATTCTTCTATTGTCACCCATTGCAGGTAGGCAATAAAAAGTTCTACTGGATTCACTTTGTATTAGTATTTTTCCTGCTTCAAAAAGGTAGGCAGCAGCTTGACAAAGCCATGATGGCAATTTACATCCAAGTAGTATGCAGTTCTTCATACACACACACACACACACACACACACACACACACACACACACACACACACACACACACACACACACACACACACACACACACACACACACACACATTCATTTCAAACAGATGGTATAGTATGGGGCCAAAATGGTAGCTTTAATATTTGCAAATGTGTGTGGAGAGTTGTGTGTCTGTATCTCGATTTGTGTGTGTGCAGTGGGATTTGAAAATGTGTAAATAAATCTGTAAATGTGTGAGGAGATTTGTGTGTCTGTACAACAATCTGCAAATGTGTAAAACTACTTGTGTGTAATCCGTTTTGCAAATGTGTAAAAAATCCACAAATGTGTATTCAGATCTGCAAATGTGTACTGAGATTTGCAAATGTGTAAAAAATCCACAAATCTGTATTCAGATCTGCAAATGTGTACTGAGATTGGCAAATCTGTAAAAAAAATCCACAAATCTGTATTCAGATCTGCAAATGTGTACTGAGACTTGCAAATGTGTAGACCAATCTGTAAGCACACACAGAGACACTTGTGTCTGAAGTATTTTCGCTTCAAGACCCAGAAATACAGACAAATCATTGGTTACAAGTCAAGCGGTTTTTCGGTTGGCTCTCTTTACACACGTGATTTTTGCTACTCTTCTGCCGGGTGAGATGCACAAATGCGTAGAAGGATTTGTATGTGTATTTTCGCGATTTGTAACCCCTTGCGCAGGCTCGCAGGCTCACATGCTGCCCTGACCGCAGGCTCACAGACAGCCTCTCTCTGCTGCAACAGTTCAGCACAACTTGCTTCACATACAGCCACATACATTAACCCATCTACTTCAGTGGAGTGTGGATCGGGATGCTATGTATTTTCCCACTGAAAAATAAAAATAAATATTAACAATATTTACATAAATAAACTTATATCCTTTCTATCAATTTCGTCTTTTTCAAGATTGTTTATCAAATTACAAAAATAATCATAAGTAGATTTTTTTTCCAAAATATCTTGTATATTTAACTGTAATTTATTTTCTTGCAACCAACTTAATAATTCCCTTCTCTCCATAGAATATTTATAACAAAACATGCTCCTCCGTCTCCCCTTGATAACAAAAACCACAACCTCCTGTTCCCATTCTAAATAAGTTTCCATTTAACCCCGTGTTTTCGAAACTTAATCTAGATATAACCTCTTTTCTATTCCTTTCCGTTCTCCTCATTGCACCAATTTTCCTTTGAATACTATAAAGCCACCTTCCAGTTCTATGCTCTTCCCACAGCTTCTGCCCTCTTTCCGTAACCTTTTGTTTGATAATAGATTACATTTTTTCTGACTGAATGGTATCAATATATCATCATTGTCACGTCAACTCCCGCAGCGGAGGAAAAAAAAAGGTAGAGGCTGTCTGTGAGCCTGCGGTCAGGGCAGCATGTGAGCCTGCGAGCCTGCGCAAGGGGTTACAAATCGCGAAAATACACATACAAATCCTTCTAAGCATTTGTGCATCTCACCCGGCAGAAGAGTAGCAAAAATCACGTGTGTAAAGAGAGCCAACCGAAAAACCGCTTGACTTGTAACCAATGATTTGTCTGTATTTCTGGGTCTTGAAGCGAAAATACTTCAGACACAAGTGTCTCTGTGTGTGCTTACAGATTGATCTACACATTTGCAAGTCTCAGTACACATTTGCAGATCTGAATACAGATTTGTGGATTTTTTTACACATTTGCAAATCTCAGTACACATTTGCAGATCTGAATACAGATTTGTGGACTTTTTACACATTTGCAAAACAGATTACACACAAGTAGTTTTACACATTTGCAGATTGTTGTACAGACACACAAATCTCCTCACACATTTACAGATTTATTTACACATTTTCAAATCCCACTGCACACACACAAATCAAGATACAGACACACAACTCTCCACACACATTTGCAAATATTAAAGCTACCATTTTGGCCCCATAGGTATTGAGTATCGTATCAGAGCCAAACACCCCTACATGCCTTCTGCAACATTCTAATTTGTCATATTTGTCATCCAAGCCTGCATAAATACCAGCTTAAACAATCAGTCATTGAAATACTTTTATAATTGGCTTTACAGTCTTTTATGTTTATTGTGGAGTCCCTCAAGATTCTATCCTGGGACCTTTATTGTTTGCACTTTACCTCCTTTCTCTCAAAGAGATTTTTATCAAACATGGTATAGCGTACCATTTCTGTGCTCATGACTGTCAACTTTATTATCCAATTGCTAAAAAAAAAACGCCCCTGCCCCCTGACACCCCTTCTTGACTGTCTGGGTGATGTCAAGGCTTGGCTGTCAAAAAACTTTCTGAAGCTTGATGAGAACAAGACAGAGGTGATGGTGTTTTGATGTGCCATCTCTGACTTGGGACCTTTCAAGCATTTTGTTGCTATAGACATGATTTTAAACTGAACGGACAAATAAATAGCATTTTAAAATCGTGTTTTTTATCACCTCTGTCTTCTATCTAAGGTAAAACCATTTTTATGTTTTAAGCTCTTTGAGCAGGTTTTACACTCTTTTATTTCTAGCCGTCTGGACTACTGCAATGCACTTTATTCAGGCATTAGCCACCGAGCTCTCTCCCGTCTGCACTTGGTCCAAAATGCAGCGGCTCGTCTTTTAACAGGGACCAGCTGCAACTGCTTCTTCCCTACCGCCATAAGACTGCTGACCTGTTAGAAAATAAACTCTAAATCATGTCACAGACTCAGCGTCACACTGATGACACCAAACCAAAATACTGCATATTTGCACCATATATGCTCTGAACTTCCATATCAATTCGTTTTTTGCACCATTTTTTTATTCCTTCACTGTTTACATTTGATCACTGCTGTACTTTATGGAATGGAAATTTTCATTTACTGTCTCAAAAGCTGTACTAAACAAAATATGTTTTTTTGTATACAATCTTTGTTTACGAAATGACAATATAAGTTGTCTAAGTCTAACATCCAGATGTGACAATCAGTGAGCTGAGAGGAGGACACACACTCCTTATTTACTACACGTCTTCTACAAGAGTTTAAATGTGTTTCTTCAACATGATGTGGAGAAAGCTGTATTGGTTCAGATGACATTGCTTGTTTGAAATTGTATAAATGAAGAGAAATATATTATATAAAGTACGGAAGCCGAGAGCGGCCGTACTTTACTGTATTTTTTTTTCCTTTGTCTTCTCGAGATAATGACATAACTATCTCTTTATCACAGTTTAACCATTAATTCTTTTCTCCTGATAACGAGATAATGATGTCGTTATCATGAGAAAACAGTTGCACTGCACGGTGGAGGAGGAGTTACTTGAATAACAAGGAGCAAAAAGCAGTGATCATCTGTCCAAAAGGTCAGGTAACTGAGTCCACTATATAGTCCCCGCTCTATATAGTGATTGAGGGATTCAGGGGTTAGGGCGGACGTTCAGACACAGTAAACTTTAATGAGCTATGAGAACAGCTACTTTTAAACAGAACGTTCACGAGGAGAGTTAGGCTTGTGCATTCTCTTGCACGCGTTTAATAGGCGTTCCCTCTTGGGACCGGGTACAGGGTCATGCATGTGGATTTGAAAAAAGTTATGAATACCTTTAATGAGATGTAAATGTTTCTGCTCTGTCTGTTTTTCTATCTAGCTATCAGGATGACATGTGTTCACATAACCCTCTCCTTTTATCTGGGCTTGGGACCAGCACCAGGAGCACATAGTACTGTGATCCTCATGGCAGGATTATATGTGTGTGTGTGTGTGTGTGTGTGTGTGTGTGTGTGTGTGTGTGTGTGTGTGTGTGTGTGGGTGGGGGGGGGTTAGGTGTGTCTGTTTAGATGTGCTGATATTTTTTTTGTGCTTTTTAAAATGTTTTTTTTTTGTTTTGTTTTTTTTTATTGTTTTATGCTATAATGTTTAAATGAAAAGTAAAAAGAGTGGTTGTAAAGTTAGAAAAGAAAAAAAGTTAGAAAAGTTGACACCCTAGATGGGTGTCAAAAAAAAAAGAGCAAATTAAAGCTTGGAGAAACTGATGGTTTGGTTGGAGGAGGTTTCATCAGGTTTCAATGTTCCTTTTTAGAGCGTTTAAAGAGATTTTTCAGTTTTCTCCCAAACGTTTTCTTTTTAGGTTTTCCTTGTAAGTTGTTGATCTTCTCTGGCTGATTTTTCAGTTCATCCTCTTTGCTCTCTGGTGACATATTCTCCTCATTCCTGAGAGTTTCCTGCTGCTCCAGGAGGCTGAGTGTTTCCTGGTCCCAGAGGTTTTTTTGTTTCTCCATATCTTGCTCCATTTCGACCAAAGCAGCCTTTATTTTACAGCTTTCCCGCATTTTCTCGACTAAAGATGTCATTGTTTGCATGTGTTTAGCCTTCTCCGCACCCAAAGTCATTTCTAGTTCAATGGCTTTTTTAGCAGCATCTTCATGGCATTGGTTCATTTTCTGCTGCTTCAAATAGAGAGCGGCTTTCTCCTGTTCTGCCTCAGCTTTCTGTAACTCCAGCTGCTTTTTTAGCTGCTCCACCTCGTCTCTTTGGTGTTGGCTGGTCATGAGTTGGGATTTTTCCAGCTCCCACTGTTGTTTCTGGTTTGCTAAAGCTGTCTCTGTTTGGATGAGAGCAGCTTGAAGGGTGGATATTTCCTCAGTTTGCTTGGCTAAGCAGTCCTCTGACTCTTTTGCTCTATTTTTCACGTCAGTCAGGTTTTTCTCCAGCTCTTCTGCCTTTTTGATGGCATCTTTATGGTCTTTGTTCCTCTTGACCAGCTCGTTGTAGAGTGCAGAAACCTCAACCTCATGTGTAACTTTCTGCGACTCCAGCTGAGCTTTCAGCTTTTCTACCTCGGCTGCATCTTGTTTGTTGGTGAGAAGCCGGCATTTTTCCCGCTCCCACTGCTGCTTTTGTTCATCAAAATCTTTCTGCATTTGGAGCAGAGTAGCTTGTAACACAGACGTTTCTTCCATCTGCTTGGCCAAACAGATCTCATTCTCTCCTGCTTTGTTCTTCTCTGACATCAGATTAACTTTCAGCTGGTCGGCCCGTCTGATGGCGTCCCGTCGGCCTTTGTCTGTCCTGATCTGTTTATCATGCAGAAGAGCAAGTTCGCTCTCGTGCTCCGTTTGCAGATTCTCTATTGTCTGGTTCAACTTCATCACTTCCTCTGTTGAATCCTTTTTCTCCGGTAAAACATCACCTTCACTAGACTTTAAGCAGAGCTCAGTTTCCTGCAGCTTTTTCCTTGCAGCTATTAACTCAGACTCAAGCTGCTTTGCTCTCTCCGTTTGTAGCTTGTTCAGTGTATGCATCTTAGAAAGCTCGCTACCGTAAAACGTTATGTTTCCTGACAAGCTGGCATTTTGTTGTTGGAGTCCTGAGATCACTGTATCTTTGAAGATTAAGGACTTTTCAGCATCTTCCAGCTTTTTCCTGTCAGCGGTTAACTCATTCTCAAGCTGCGTCACTCTCTCATTCATTTGTTGGTTCTCTGTCTCTAATTTATGACACTTGTTACCAAGATATCTTATGTTTCCTAACAAGTTGGCATTTTGTTGTTGAATTCCTGAGATGATATTGTCTTTGGAGCCCAAAGTGGCATAAAACTCCGACTCTGGCAAAGTAATAAGCGGTGTAGTGCTTGTATCAGCGGTTGGTGTCCTAACCAAGGCCGGCTGCGATGGGGTCACCACAGGATTGGGCATACAGACTTCTCTCCAGGAAGGTCCAACTGCTCCTAATGCGATGTTTTCCAGTTGGATCTGACCTTTCTCAGGCTGGGTAACAGTGGGATTTCCAGTATTGTTTGGCATTATCTGACCAAATCCAGGAAAATCTTTCATACCGGCTAATGGCACAGAGTTTGACTGACCAGAGTTGGTAATGTTGATGGAGGAGTTTGTAAATTTCAGGGTTTTTTCCAGATTCCTGTGTTCCTTCAATGTAGATTCCATTTTTCTAAAGTTTGCTTGTTAGTTTTAAACACAAAGATTTTTCTAATGACTGATTTGTCTTCACAGTAAAACACGTAAAAGGGTAAATCACTCGAGAGCTCTGAACACCACAAGGGATTTACACAGACTGGAATGGAATGTGACCAGCACACCCACTGATGATGTCATAGGGACTAATGGAATGATGTCACCTAGCTCCTCCCACTCACAGTGAGATGTGTTTGTTTCTATGCTTGTCAAAGCTAAGGGAGTTCTTAGTGTAGGTTAGGGCCTTTTGAAGCCATTGGAAATAATCAGTGTGGCCCCGGACCACAATTGAGCAATATTTGACGAGAATATGGTTCAACAGAAGTTATAATTTCAGCATTTTACATCACATTTCCTCTGCTTTTAGTTTCTCTGTGTCTCCTAACACTTTCCAGAGACCATTGTAATCAAGTTTTTTGTCAACAATTTTTCAGGTTCTTGCTTTGTGAAGCCAAGACATAACATAGACATCTGGTTTGAACATTTTAAGAGGAGGGCCAACAAATATGATAAAAATGACTTAATTACATTAAAAGATGACTGACAGCTGTCATATTTTCAGTCTTTGTGATATCAGTGACTGGAATTAATAGGCTCTTCAAGATGAGCTATGTAGCTAATCTCTACACTGTGCAAGACGGTTAGATTTATGTGCATGTTGCTGCCGTATGCATCTGATGTCTGCAGTATGCAAGCAATTTAGACCTCGAGATCAGCCGTCTGAGCCAGCCGCCACAGCTGATCAAAAGCAACTGAGGAGGCTGCAAGGCACAGTGCACCATGGGTGTGAGGGACCGAGGTAAGAAGCACAAGGAGTCTCAGAGATTCATTCATATACATATATACACATATATATATATATATATATATATATATATATATATATATACACCCTTGTGTATATACAGGCAGTCCAACTCCTCTGTGCAACCTCTGTAGGTTCCAGGTAGCGCCTCATGCTAACAGTAGTGACAGTGACCATAGTCAAATGCAAAACTGGTGAAAAGGAGTCAGAAAAGATTAGGAGAAAAAATGTCAGTGGCCTCCACCTGTAAAACCCCTCTAGTGCACCTGTTGTTAATTTCATTAACACCAAAGCAGCTGAAACTGATTAACAACTCCCTCTGCTAATTACCTGACCAAATTAATATACCAGAAGTTTAATTAACTTGATGCTATACTCTGATTACAAAGTGTTCCTTTAATATTTTTGAGTAGTGTATATATATATATATATATATATATATATATATATATATATATATATATATATATATATATATATACACACATATATATATATATATATATATATATGTTTTGCATGAAGATATATATACATGTTTTAAGCTAAAAGAAGTAAAGAGCTAAGTTAAAGCTGCAGCAAAACTTATTGTTCATATTGAAGAAGTATATGCCATGTATAATCTAAGGATGGGCAGTTAAGTTACCTGCACTCGAATTAACGGACCCGGGGGAAAACCATGACGGTGTTTTTCAACAACACAGACAGCTGCACCCAGTTACTGTTGGCTAAAGTAAATCAGCGGATAAATGGAAAAAAGCTACAATTATTGGTGAGAACTGTCCCCTCCATGCCCAAGTTGATGGGGACATGTCCACCATAATCCTTCAGAAAGTTACGCCAGTGTCATAAAGAGATTTAAAGTTTTTTTTTTCTTATAGGGCACTTAGTGAAATACGTTAATAATCCAAAATTCAAGCCAACAGTGTTATTGGAATCCAATAACACTATTTTTTTAATGTTATAAAAAATAGTGTTACACTGCAAAAAATTGAAATCTACATAAGTCAATATTTCTTAAAATAAGTGTCATTTTTCTTAAATGGAGGAGGAAAGTGAGACATTTTGCCAATGGAATAAGACAATTTACATTTAAAATAAGAAAGTACAATTGTATCATTCTTATTTCAAGCGCATGTTATCTAATTATTATTATCTAACTATTAAATTTAGGGTAAAAACACTTAATTTAAGAAATTTTTACTTATTTCTAGATCGTTTTTCCAGTGTAGGATATTTTGATGGCAAAAATTAATGTTAATGTAAAAACAAGAAACGCCAACTTGCTTGAATATATTAAGAAAAATAACAAAAGTGCTTCTGTAAGAATTTCATGAAGAAAACGCTTTTTTGGTGCAATGTAACCTTAGAGGCATTAATGCTGATACTGGCACATGCATTTTTTTGTTTATAAACCTAAATATATTTTTTACCTTATTTTCTTTACATTTTAACTTTTTTTTCAACTTAATTTAGATGAGGTAATATATTATTCAAGGGCTCATCTAATTGGTCAAATGCCAAAATAAGATGTGCAGCCATGTAGCAGCATCTTTGCTGAATGGCTGACCTCACTGAGGGACGGGTAGGGGGTATGCAAATGATCAAAAATGCTAACTTGCCCTATAAAGGGTGTACCCACCTCTCACCCATAGACTGCTGGAGAGTGAACACACTGCCACCCTCACTGAATAAGACGGATGATTGATTCATGGATGAATGGAATTACTTTAATATGCATATGAAAAAAATGCTGTTTTTATTTTCTGAAACAAGCTGTGTTCATTTATTTTGCAAGATCACCAAATTTGACAGGGTGCCATTGTTGCTTTAGCCCAGAATAGAATAATTTTGGACAGTTTAGACAAAGCAAGGCCTGTCATCCACAGAAACATCAGTACAGACGTTAGTGGAAAAGCAATAAGATGATCCACAGGACAAGTGGGAAGATTTTACAATAGAAAACTGATGGAATGGTCTGTACTAATGCACTTTATCAAGACAGAGAATCCGTCTGCAATCAGCCCCTCACTGATTCACACGCTGATGGTGGTGATCTCCATTGTAGCCACAGCTGCAACGGGGAACGCTGACAGTAGCAAGGCGCCTACAAAGATTCTGAACCACAGCGCCTTGTGATAAAAATAAAACAGTGGGAAAGCATCTTGCCCAAAGACACAAATCATACCTCCTGGGCCATTAGATTGCAATATCTCCTCATTTTTCTACAACATCTTCTTCTCCCAATTACTCATTATGTCTGCAGCATGTCAAATTTAATGTTGCCCTGATGTGCAAACCACATCAACAACTCTTTAAACCCAAAGAAGCAAAGAAATATTCAGAAACACAACATATTCATATCATAGTTTGAATATTATTATATACTGGATGGAGAGATGTATATATTGTCTATTTAGAGAGTGCAGTGACTTTGTTGTTTTGTCAAATCTTTTTATTTAGGTTTTTTTTTTAAATACTTTTTAAAGTTTTTTTTTTCAAATGCTATAAAAAATTACACATACACTATATTGCCAAAAGTATTTGCTCACCTGCCTTGACTCACATATGAGCTTAAGTGACATCCCGTTCCTAATCCATAGGGTTCAATATGACGTCGGTCCACCCTTTGCAGCTAGAACAGCTTCAACTCTTCTGGGAAGGCTGTCCACAAGGTTTAGGAGTGTGTTTATGGGAATTTTTGACCATTCTTCCAGAAGCGCATTTGTGAGGTCGCACACTGATGTTGGACGAGAAGGCCTGGCTCTCAGTCTCCGCTCTAATTCATCCCAAAGGTGTTCTATCGGGTTGAGGTCAGGACTCTGTGCAGGCCAGTCAAGTTCATCCACACCAGACTCTGTCATCCATGTCTTTATGGACCTTGCTTTGTGCACTGGTGCACAGTCATGTTGGAAGAGGAAGGGGCCAGCTCCAAACTGTTCCCACAAAGTTGGGAGCATGGAATTGTCCAAAATGTCTTGGGATGCTGAAGCATTCAGAGTTCCTTTCACTGGAACTAAGGGGCCAAGCCCAGCTCCTGAAAAACAACCCCACACCATAATCCCCCCTCCACCAAACTTTACACTTGGCACAATGCAGTCAGACAAGTACCGTTCTCCTGGCAACCGCCAAACCCAGACCCGTCCATCAGATTGCCAGATGGAGAAGCGCGATTCGTCACTCCAGAGAACGCGTCTCCACTGCTCTAGAGTCCAGTGGCGGCGTGCTTTACACCACCGCATCCGACGCTTTGCATTGCACTTGGTGATGTATGGCTTGGATGCAGCTGTTCGACCATGGAAACCCATTCCATGAAGCTCTCTGCGCACTGTTCTATAGCTAATCTGAAGGCCACATGAAGTTTGGAGGTCTGTAGTGATTGACTCTGCAGAAAGTTGGCGACCTCTTCGCACTATGCGCGTCAGCATCCGCTGACCCCGCTCCGTCAGTTTACGTGGCCTACCACTTCGTGGCTGAGTTGCTGTCGTTCCCAAACACTTCCATTTTCTTATAATACAGCTGACAGTTGACTGTGGAATATTTAGGAGCGAGGAAATTTCACGACTGGATTTGTTGCACAGGTGGCATCCTATCACAGTTCCACGCTGGAATTCACTGAGCTCCTGAGAGCGACCCATTCTTTCACAAATGTTTGTAAAAACAGTCTGCATGCCTAGGTGCTTGAATTTATACACCTGTGGCCATGGAAGTGATTGGAACACCTGATTCCAATAATTTGGATGGGTGAGCAAATACTTTTGGCAATATAGTGTATATATATATTTTCAAATAGTTATTTTCAAAATTTCATTTTTTCATACTAAGGAAAATTTAGAAAGTCATTTGAAAAGAAATTGGGAGAAAAAAAAATCATAGAAAAACAAACTTAATAGTTTTTTCAAATTAAATTTTTCAGACCATTTTTTTTCTGAGTCCAAATTATAATTTAAAAAATTTGTTATTTTATTGCAACAGAAATAAAACAAAATGCATTCCATATTAGAATTATTTTTGTATCATTAAATGCAAAAACTTAATTTTACTTTTGTGTGCAATTATGATTTAGAGTTTGTACTTTTTCTCCTTTAAGTAAAGGACTTCAATTGTGGGGGGCATGATGACGCAGTTTGTTGCCCTGCAGCAATAAGGTCCTGGGTTTGATTCCTGGTGCAGGGTCCTTCTGCAGGTTCTCTCTGGCTTCCTCCACAGGCCAAAATGCAAGATAAGTTGGCATCTCCAATGTTTCCTCAAGTGTGTGAGGTTGTTACCCTGTGACGGACTGGCGACCTGTCCAGGGTGTAACGTTCCAGCCACACTGTGACCCTGACAAAGATGGATGGATTTTAACTGATACTTTTAGTTAAGTAAAAAACATATTTTAGATCAGGGGTGTCAAAGTGGTTACAGAAAGGGCTGTGTGGCTGCAGGTTTTATTTCCAACCAAGCAATAGTACAACAGACTCCAATCATCTCATCAAGTCATCATGTTGAGATTGGAAGGCTGTTCCAAAAGTTCAGGACCACAATCTGAAAAACTTGGATCTTTACAGGTCTTAAAAATAAGTTTCAGACAATTCCTTTTATCTCAATAAAGCGTATTCAGATCCTTCTTAAGGCTAAACTTTTAGAATAATTTGTAGACCATTGACTAACTTTACAAATATAAATTATTTGCAATGTTTTTTTCATTAAGATTCCCAGGCTGAACCATTTTCTGCGCTCAATCATTCAAATTTAAATCTCACACTTAAAGTTTGGAAATTCCAGTTTGATATTCAAAGATTTCAGATTTTTCGATTTCTTTTAAAATGAATGTTTTTCTAAGGTAATTTGGGCGCCTCCTATTGGCCATTACAGAAAATACAGCCACTTAACATTACCTATTGAGACCAAGTTCAACATCCATCCTCTATAATCCTTTTACGTAATTTTAAGACATTGAGGAGGAGAGTCAGAGGAAACATCCATTAAAGATTCAGTTGGATTTATTGTTCTGCAACAGGAGGCTGAACAGAAAAGCTTGTTTGCAATCAGATGATTTTACACAAAGAGGAGGAATTATTTTGTTAACCAACCTTTATTGCTCAGGATGCACATTAAGTCACATTACATTTTGAACAGCATTTTTGGGTAGAAACTCCATTTTAAATCCATATTTGTTTCACTTGTTAATGTTCATTACATTAGGTTTATTAATAAAAGAAAAAGCAGGAGTGCTTCCAAAGGCACTAAATGTATGGAGTGAATTTTATTCCATTATTGTTGCAAGAGAACATTTGATTTAAAAAAAACACAATTCTTAAGTTCAACTTTTAAAAACTTAAGTTTTGAGAGTAACTTTGCACTTTTAGGTAGTTTAAAAAAAAAACTGTTTTATTTAAAAAAAAAAATTTTTTATTTGAATTCCCAAAACCCTTCTTTGACAATTGTTAATAATTTTACTTTTTTATTTCCATTTACAAATCTAGTTTTCTTTTAGCAATAATAAAATGAAATTCACCCCATACAGAGCTTTACATCAATTAGAAACAAAAAGCTGCACATTTAACTTAACATATTTTTATTTAAAATAATAAAAAAAAGAAACCTTCCCTTGGTGCTTCCAGTGTTAAAGAACAGGAATCAAGAGGAGCAGGATTTCTTAACAAAAAACACAAAATGTATTATTTCTTTATCTGTGAAATGGTAGAACAAGGCTTTTATCCATCATAGGATCTCTATACTACGTTTATTTTTCACATTAAGGCACAGATGCATAACCGCGGACAGTGTGCAGCTAAAACGATGCTCATAGCAGTGGAGTTGGTTTAGGTCAGAACATTTTAAATAGACAAACGCTGCCAGAGCGGCCATGAGGCAGAAATGAAGAGGAGGTAAACAGTGACAGGAATAAGGCAACTTTCCCACCTGCTAGCCACGCATTTTCATGAAAATGTTACGGTTCAGTTATTTACAGTCAGTCTTAGGACACTTTTATAATTATTGCATATATAGACCGTTTTAAATGAAGCGCATGTGGTTTTCCTAACATTTGTTTTCTAAAACACGATAAAACACCCGAATCTGAAGCGAATCAAATCTTCCTATCTGCGCTATTTCAGATCGTTTTACCCTGAGAAAAGGATTTGCCTCAAAACAGGTCCAACTTCACAGCTGCAAATGATTAATAAAAAGGATTTACAGTTTTTAACCTTAGAGCGCTACTTCCCAGGATACAGTTACCCTGAGGAGCTTCATAAAGAGCTTTTGCAGCATCGTCAAGGTGCTGAAATGACGCCAGGAGGACAAAGATGCAGGAAGCTAAAGGAAACTATTCAAACCTTTTGCAGATAACAGGAAGACTGAATAAATTCCAGCAATATTTTCTATAAAATAATCACAACCTCAAGCAGTCTTAGCAAGGGAAATTGCGTTACTGCACTGGCAGATTATTTTGAGTTGAGTTTTATCAAACATTATTAATCCAACAGAATCTAATCTTTAATATATCGATCTCCAAAAAAAATATCAACTAGACGTTTTTTGCGGTTTTAGACAAAATCATTAAGTTTGAAGCATTCAGGGCACATTGGTTATATATTTCTATCAGGACAGCAACTTAGTATTTTACTTTTTAGGGGGGATCAATAAGCAGACAGTAGAAGATGCCTTGAAGAATATTTTTATACAGAATTTAAACCAGATTAAGTTATAGAGTTTCTGATTGATCAATTACTAAATTATTTAAATAAGGGCTGCAATCAATTATTTTAGTAATCGATTTATCACCTGGTTATTTTTTCAATTATTCTTTTAGTCTAAAATATGCTTTAACTCAATTAACATTTTTAAATAAACACTTTGATTTAAAAAAAAAATGCATTTTGAGTAAGTTTTGATATTTAGATTATCTAATTTAATCTGTAACAGAAAATTTATCATATATTTTGTTTAAAAATTGCTTTATATTCTTGGAAGTTTTGCCTCAATTACCGCATTTGAAACGCGACTCTTGTAGGCAAAGTTATGCGTTATAATCTGTGTAATTATAACCCTTGGTTAGGATTTCATTCCCAAATTAATGATAATTTCAGTAATCCATTTAAATTTATCAAATTTTTTCACCTCTAATTCAATTATTTAAAAGAATATAAGGCAAATTCTTCCGTGAATATTATTTTTTCCTCTAACTCCTAAGGAATAAACTGAACCATCATTATTTAATGAAACCCAGGAGAAAACAAACTGATCAAAGGTTAAAAGATGGTCTCAGAGATTCACCTTTTAAAAATGTTTACAGCTTCATAACAAATGAGGTCGAATGATTGTTTTTTTTTTTCCTAGGTTTGTCCAGAAGAGAGGAGCTCACAGATTCTGACCATCCTGCAGCATTTAGAACCAACACGAGTTAATTAAGCTAATGGGTCGGTACCAAACGTCTGCAGAGCTGAATGACTGATTGGAGATTTCAGCCATTTTCAGGTGTGTTTGGAGAAGGGATGCAATTAAAGGTACAGAGAGACATTTAGTCCAGTTTTGATGAATTCCTTTGGAAAAAGCATCAATTCCAAAAAAAAAAAAAAAAGAACCAGGAAGAAAAAGGAAAGCTAGACAGGAAGTCTGACATGGAAAGAGTAAAGGTCATCAGTTACTTTTCAAAATAAGAGGGAAATCAGGAAGGTAAAAAAATACTACAAAAAATAAAGCGTATATCTGCATTAGCTCTATTAAAGGACCAAATTAAAGACTTCTGCCCAGTTTTTTTGGTAACCATGGTGATTACAAGCATAGGATGCACAATAAGATCTGCAATTATTTAAAACTGATTTACAGTGATTTGATCTAAATAATATTTCATCTTTAACGCTTGAGTTGAAAAAATTAGTCCTAAAATATACTTATTTCAGAATCAACTTCATAAAGTTAAAGCTTTAGGAAAAAAGTTCAAATCTGGACCAAAAATCTTGAAGGATGCTTCTCTCCTCTCCTAACCTGTAATAAAGTCGTCTTTTCTTGGTTTTATTAGACATCAGGCTGCATCTGCGCACTATTACAGTAGAAAAAAAATATAGATCTAAACATCAGGTTTGATTCTAGTGAAGAAAAGCTCTGAGAAGTGCTGAGGTGGAGATTTTGTAACCTGTTGGGTTCCAGGTGCTTTTCTAGAAATAGCATTCTGAGAATCTTCAGAAAATATAAAGCATGTTTGCCCTTTTAATCTCCCTCTTGCGATCTTTGAAAAAATGCTTACAGACATTCTGACAAACTAATAACTCATTTGAATTAGCCTTCGTTTGCCCTTCAGTGCCATTTTCACCTCTAGCGGTTGGCTAGCGGCGGCAGCCTGGCGTTCAGGCCGAGCTTTAGCTGTATCCGTCGTTCCACTCCATGACTTTGTCGTACTCCTGTATCCTTTGTTTGATGTGCGACAGTTTGCTCTTCAGATACTCGCATCGCTCCTTCTTCTCCAGGAAGGTGGGGTCCTAGAGGCGGAGCAACAGAAGCAGGAGTTAGTGGGAGACTAGGAGGCATTTTGCTCCTCATTTCTTCAGTCTGGACCCAGAATCCTTGTTCTGTGTGAGGATAAGAACCTCTTTATCCTCTGAGCTGCTGTTTCTATTTTTTAGTTTAATACATAATGAAAACTCTGTTCTGTTGTCATGCTTTCATTAAAAGCTCAAATAGGAGCCACCAGAAAACCCTGTAAGCAAAAAGCATCCAAACAAACTCAGAGACACCTGGAATAGATCAGCATGTGTTTAAAGTGAGAGCATTTTCCCTTATTTTAATGGGGTGAAGGTTTGTTGTGGCGGAAGGTTTGCAAGCAAGTCTGGTTGTGGCCGGTTTGTTGGAAGCATCTTCCTAACCATTTTTTTTTTTTTTATAGTAGAGAGGTCTTTTAAAAAATGTGTTAAAATCCTCCACTGTACCTTTAAAAGAAAGGTATTTATATGATGCATGATGCACTTGAAACAAGATATTAGAGTTTTCTTCTTATTTTAAATAAATTTTTCTCTTCTACTGCCATATTGTCTAACTTACCTGCTCAATTTAAGATAAAATATATTTATTTTAAGAACTGACCTGATTACATTTTTTTACATTTTTTGCAGTGTAGAGTTTGATCAAACAGACAGTATAAACAGTAAACATGTTAAAAAAAAAAAAAAAAAAAAGAGCGAGCTCACGTTTTTCTTCTTCTGGTAGTCCTGCAGGATCCTGTTGATGCGATCCACCTCCTACAAACACAGATAGTATTTCACTCAGGTGATGTCATAGAGTGAAACTCTGTAGGAAAATTAGGAGAGAGAGAAAACAGATGGCTGCCTGGATGGAGCCCATGAGGAATTTGAGGGTGGAGAGAAACAGGAAGAGGAAGTAAAAACAGAGGAAGTGACGGGATGGAGAAGTCAGCGACGTTTTGACAACAAAGACAATGAGAGGAATTTTTCTGAACAGGCAGAGATCCTTCGCTGGGTCTGAATGGAACTATGTATAATCTATGCTGGATGCCTAAGGGGAGATGTTTGAAAATTGTGGAAAGCAATTTGAACTACATTAATTCTATGAAAAGCACTTTATAAATAAAGTTTGGTTGATTTTAATTTCTTCTCCTCATCTTTACTGTAAGAACACAGTCCAGTCAGAACAGCTGGTCCCCCAGCTTTACCGACTGGTTTAGATGGAGGGGAATCTATCATCCCAGTTCCTCCCATTTAAAACACAAGTATGAAGGGAATTTAGTTCCTTTATTGTTTTAAAAAAACACATTTTGTAAATTAAAATTTGAATAAAAGAAAAATCTAATCCAGAAATGAAACTTGGAAACATTTTGAATCAAAAAGTGGTTCTAAGAGAACCTGTTTTCTCAGATTTAATTTTTAAAAATACAAAAAACTTTGTCAGATTTTATTCTATCAAAAACTACTTACCGGTAGCTAAGAAAGTAATATTAAGATTATTGAACACTGACAAGGTTCCACAGTTTAAAATGTGGGTAAGTGATTTTACTGAGATTCATCATTTGGAGAAAGTACAATGTTAAGGATTCCAGTAAGTTCTGTAGTATCTAGCAGCCGGTTTTGCCTTCATTTTTTCTCTTCCCCGCTTTTATTGTGAATTCATTGTCAAAAATATAGAGCAATGAAATAAACTCTCTGCATTTAACCCATCCCCTTGGGGAGCAGTGGGCTGCCATTGTGTGGCGCCCGGGAAGCAGTTTGGGGTTAAGGGTCTTGCTCAGGAACCCAGAGTGGTAGATTGTGGGGATCGAACCGGGTGTTTGTAACCTTCTCAAAACACAAGCACACTACTCTAACCACTAGGCCAACAGTCCCCCCCCCCCCCAAAAAAAAAGCCAAGATTCCTTTTTTTTTCTTCTCCCAGATAAATAGGTAGTACCATCCTAAAGTTTACATGATAATCACTGCAGTGTAACTGTTACTTAGTTGAATTCTCTGACTTATTTTCATTGTTATATTGGTAAAAGTATTTTTTTATACAGGTAATTTGTTAAATATATCAATACTTCATACTCCAATGTATGATTTATGTATGTTCGGATATATATGCATATATTTAAAAAAAAAATCTTTAGATTTTACATTTTGAAAGAAAGCCATGAAAATGCAAAATGTAAATTCTATTAAAACATTTTTTGAAATATTTAAATAGGATCAAATCTGCAAAAAAGATTTTTGAAAAAAGAAAAATAAACAACTTTCAGTGTAACCAGTTGCTCTGCTTAAATCAGCTGCACGGAGAGCCCTGACGCTCAAAGAGGAAAACGAATTGTTGCAGTAACTCTACCCCCAATTTACAGAGTGAATGTCATAAACCTCCATCAGTAAACTTTGAATATGAAGTTTAGGTCTAGAAAGAGGAACTTCCCCCATGAACAATGTGAACTGTAACAAGGTCAACATGGAGCTAGTGTTTTAAACAACCTCCTTCACACACATTAAAACAAAAACAAATAAATGTAACCTTTAAGGGTTACGTAGTTTGTAATGTTTTGGAAAAGCTCCGATTTTAATCACGGGGAAAAAAGAAAGAAAGTTTATATCCAAAGAAATGCTGTCATGTAGAGAAGATTAAGGAATTAGTGACCAATCACCATCTGGGTTGTGGGCTGCTGAGGCAGACTGTGAATCATGGCGTCCATCTCATCAAACTTCTTCAGTGTGGCCTGAACATCTGCATGGAGCTCCTTGTACTCTGCGTACTGGTCGTTGAACACAGCTCGGTACTGGTCCCGCTCTTCATCAGACCGGATCACCGGATATTTCCTGTAAAGAACCACACAGGATGAACAAAGGAACGAGCCGTTTCCATAATCATGACTTCTTATCCCAGAAACGTGCTACATGTAGCTATATTCTGATTAGCATAATCCTGAAACAATAACAGAAATTTTGTTAGCAAGAACCAGGCAGCAGTGGTTTCATTTACAGGGTAATGTATGGAGTTACTTTTGTTCCATTATTGTTGAAAGAAAGAACATGTTTTGGGAATTTAAATTTTAGAAAAAATTAAGAAAAAAAGAAAAAGACTTGAAAAACTTCTTAAAGAAAGCTTTTGAAAGTAACTTTGCCATTTTCTCACATTCAAATTTTTGTTTTCAAATATTTTTTGGGTTAAGTTAGTAAGTTTTTAAAAGTTTAAATTCTTTTTTTCTTTCAATTACAAAACTTATTCTTTAAATGCATCAATAATAGTACAAACTTCACTTCATACATGTGAGGTAAACATTCGCTACGTCAGAACTTGTTAGAAAGATGTTTTTATCTCCTCTTATAAACACCTTTAAAAAAATATAACCGAAAACCTCCTTAAATATGCGTTAAAATATTTTTGCTAAATTTAGTGAGTTGATTTGTTTAATAAGACACAATCTGTGTTGTTAATATAAAGTTGTTATTTACAGTTTATCTCCTCTTCTATTACAAATTTGTAGATTTCTGCAATATGCTTTTGAAATTGGTTAACCCCATCCTGCTGCGGTTGAACGATATTTAGGTTTAAAATTGTTTTTTTTTTTACTGTTTAAGGGGATGGAGTTTAGCAACATGTTATTACTATAGATGTTTGATTGGATTGAGATTATAGTGATGAAACACCTCATCCCCTGAAGCTGTTTTTGAGAAGGTTAATTTTTAAAGGTATTCTGACCCAGTTTCTGTAAAATCTAATGCTACACTGTTGTTTCCTGCCTCCAACACATCTGCTGTTTTGTTTTGCCTTATAACCGAACCGCACTGTGCTCCTAAATTCCCCAACTAAACCCTTTGACAAATGTACCATAATGCAGAAGATAACGAGGCTTTTCATTTTTAAATATGCTGATAATCTCTGGTCAGATTAAGTGATCTGTTAAAATATACGTGCTTAATTTCTGTGTCTGTAATCCATTTCTGTTTCATGGTTCTTATGAATTTTTGGCAGTACTTACTAGGGTTGTCAAAAGTATCGAAACTCAAAAAAGTATCGATACTGAAATGTTGTATCCGGATACAATACTCATTTTTAAAAGTATCGATACAGTTCTACCACCAGTGGCACCTAAGCAGTCATTCATCTAAAGTTCAGAATAGAGGACAATGTACTTTCAGAACACTGTGTGATTGAATAATTATTTTTGTTTCTTAACTGGTTTGGCTAGTGTCATTGTTATGTGTGCAAAGAATAGCCAAGGAAGGAACACTTAATTTGAATTTTATAAGTTTTTTATCAAGCTTGCATAATATTATGCACAGCATACAACGTTTATTGTGTTTATTTATTGTATTTTATTTATTAATTAAAATATTTCTGTTGAATTTTGGAGTCTTTGTTTTTATCCTTGTGGTATCGAAAATGGTATCGAGTATCGAATATTTTCCTTAGTATCGGTATCGAGTTGAAAAGTTTAGTATCGTGACAACCCTAGTACTTACGCAATGTAATCTGGGACGACGACAGGTTTTGGGATATATCCTGACGGTATGGCTCCCTGCACAACCTTCGGAGGAAGTTTCTTCGGTACAGCTTGGATGGGAACGACCGAGGAGCCTTGGACCTGCTCTGGAATTCTGGGAGCCGGAGCAGAATCAGGAACCACCTGAATAGATAATGGCAAAAACATCATAAAAGCTGCTTTTATAAGAACTAAATGATTTTAAACAGTTGTAAAGTACAGTTAATAACGTGGTACTTACAAGGGACTGCACGGCACGCAGATCAGAAGGCTGCATCAGAACACAGAGAACGGAGAGAAGTCAATCTTGGTTGAAGGAGACTTAGAGCATCGGAACAGAGCTTCTATTTATGTTTTCTCCAACATAAAACCAGAGCTGATGGAAATATCTGCATCAGTCTGTAAACTTTACTAATGAATTGATTGTATACAGAAGTGCTTTAAATGCTTTAAATTTTTTCAGACATTTTTAAACCCGAAAGAAAAAAAAGGCCTTTTAAAACAAAGAAAACTCCATAAAATGTCGCAGGTATCCCTTCACCCCTCTTCTCAGTCTTTACCATTTAGTACCTTTCCTTGTAAAAATGGGCTCAGGCTGAATTATTCTCATCTTCCTACAGATTCTACATTTTAGCTGGACTTTGACTAGGCCACTATAACACATAAAATATCCTTTGATCTAAATCCATTTTAGTGACCAGTTAAGGGTGGATGCTCTGCTAAAAGGTTGCATTCAGCTCCGTTCATGACCGCTTTCAGATCCCATCTCACTTTCTTATTATTTGACCAAAGTAGTAAATAAAGCCGGGCATATACTGTGTGATATTGTCAATCCTACTCCGCTGCAGCTTAAACTGTACTACAAAACTACAGGGTTTAAATGTTCACAGCTCACAATGTATGTTTGTGCGGCCCGACGCTCTGATGCGATCTACCTGCTCACACTGTACCTCTAAAAACCACATCGGACTTAGGGCCGAGAGATGGCGCTGGTCAGACTCGTTAATCCAGAAGAAGAACTCCTTTGTTTGCACATGCGCCATGCTCGAGGTTCTGGTAAATCGCCTTGTAGCTCTGCTTCAACAGCAGGAACATGTTTGATTTTCCCCTGACGATTCCTGATCTGAAGGTGGTCATGCGAGGCTAATCACCCTCGTATCCCCTGGATACTATACGACACAGGACGCACGATGAGGCTGAAACTCGGCCCTATTGAAAAATCTGCACGACTTGAGAGTCGACAGGAAAAGGGCAAAAAATCTTACAGTGTATGTAAAGCTTAAAGCAAGTAGAAGTTGGGTTTTTTTCCGCTTATTTCAGCACAGAAAATGAAAGGTTTGCTTTTCTAATCCAGTTTCAAATCTTATTGTTGTTAGAATTTAAATTTTGGCTTCTGTTATAAAAACATTTACTTTCCCATTTTATTCCAGGCAGAAAAACATTCATCACACACTGATTTAAAGTCGTTACATTCAAAAGCTCATGCAGTGATCAATTTATAGTCTGATTTTGGAAGCGTCCTGCTTATGGGGCTAAATAGATGTCTGGAATTTTAACTTTGTGGAAAAGTGGAAAAAGATTGAGCTTCTGCCATAAAATCAAAATAAAACCTTCATCTGTGCAGCGATTTACTCCCAGACTTCCTCTCCTGTTACACAAAAAAAACCTTTTTGTAGTGATTAATGTTCCCAACACAACAGATAAAGCTTATCTGGGAAAATTTTTAAATTTCAAGGAAAATCTCTTTTACACAAGTGTACACGGGCCAATGAAAATATATTTAATCGATATATAAATATATATATAAAGACCCATTTCTAACAGGTTGTTAGCCCTTATGAGGCTGAGGGAAATTAAAAACTTATTAAGTTAAATTTTTATTTTTCAGGAATAGTTGTTTAAGTCAAAGTTGTTGTTTTTCCTCCTATCACATGAGGCCGTTTTTAGAAACTGTTTCAGTTTTCTTATCTCATACAACGTCGACCACACCTACTCACTGGTCTGTTTGCAAATTCAGTGGTAAGTTATTTCCCAACGTCAGCTTTATGGGAAACATGTTTGCAACAAAGGAGGAGAGCTTGTCAAAATGATTTTCTGCTTCTTACAGGAACCTCTGGGTGAATTCCAGGAATCCCAGGACCGAGCCCAGCTGTGACAGAACAAAACAGCCAGACGTAGCTGAGCTCTCACCTCCTGGCCGTACCTCTCCCGGTACCTGCGGGCGGCCTCGTGCCTCCACAGCTTCAGACAAACAATGGCCCCGATCAGATACACAACCATAGTGACAAAGAGGAAGATGATGGCTGCGGTCTGACCGGCCTCAATTCTGCAGAAGACCCCGTTGATACCGTTGTTGAAGACTGGGTAGGAGCACAGTCCTCCTCGGTTGGTGTCTCTGACATAAACGATGCCTGGTAAAGGAAACACAGGGAAAAAGGTCCAGTAAATGTAAACATGTTTAACACCGCCCAGCTCTGCAGAACAATTCCTGCAATGAGACGGCTTAGCAGACATTTTACATCAGGACTGATGGAAAATTATCCAATTTTTACAGATTGATTGTAAATCTATAAATAGCCTGAATCACCTGATGCCAGTTTTTACAACAGGGCTATTTTCAAAGGATCCTGTAGGGGGAGCACAACTCGAAAGTGACCTACTGCTTGTTAAAAAAATTTAAAGAAAATCTGCTAGAAATGCCGACTGTAATAAAAGCTGGAAAAGTTTTGCTTTGATGATTTATTTGCTTCTAATGACCGTATTTTCTGGACTATAAGCAGCTACTTTTTTCCTACACTCTGAACTAAGAGGCTTTATGCAAAGGTGCAGCTTATATGTGTGGATTTTTCTCTACCTGTCATCGGTGGAAATCAAATTAACGGCTCGTTTTCATTTAGCATAAGAACATGCTAGCAGCAGGCACGACTGGAAACAAATCTCAGAGTCGAACCAATGAAGAAACTGGGCTCAACTCCTGCAGAGCTGAAATAAAGAGCTGACAAAGCCCCATCTTTCATTAGAAGCTCTAACTGCTGCGAGCCAAAAAGCTAACGGGAGCTAGCATTCTTCTATGAACCTCGCAGATATTTTTGATTTATGCCCAATATTGAAGCGTGGTCTGCGCTATGTTATTCCACGCCACAACGCAAGAGGGACAACAAGGAACTAGCTGTGGGTCTAGATACGGCCGAGGTGGTGAGGAAGTGGGGCAAGTTTGTCCGACAACAGAAGGACATGATGGCGAAAAAGAGCGGGTATCCAGGTGGAAAAAAGGATCCCAGCGTTCTCGCTCCTCGCTCTTCTAGCTGGTTCATCTTCACAAGTCATTTTCCACAATGGCGGTCACACAAACAAAACAAGCTGGTAAGGTATCAAACAGGAAATACGCATAGTGTAGAGTGGATGTAGATTTGACCAATCAGAGGCCTCCTGTCTGCGGTCACCTACAGCTTTGGAGAGGTGCACCAGAGTGTAGTATTTCTATAGAGTGAGTATAAACCAGCCTTATGTCTCCAGTTGTTTTTTTGGAGGCGGCTAATCTATAGTCTGGAAAACACGGTAAGAAGTCTTCCTCAGACCTCTGGATCAAGCAGAAGCAGTGTAGAAGTGTCACTCAGGGATCTCTTACCTGCCGCCATGTACAGCACCGCCAGAGCCAGGTTTATGACGAACTCCGTCAGGGGCCACCAGTTGGAGTCCAGCAGGATGGTTCGGTAGTACATGGTCATCCCCAGTACCAGCATGATTACGGTCACCAGCCAGGCCAGTCCTGCCACCACCAACACAAACGGAGTCTTGGGTCCGGTGTAGTACGTTTCGCTCGATACGCCACCGTAATAACCTGCGCCATACGCTCCGCCAGGAGAGGAGTATCCGAACATGTTAAACCATTCATTGTCTTTGTGGATGTAAGCGCAGACGCAGGCGAACACAGCTGCTCCCAGCAGCAGCTCCACGCAGCCCAGGATCCTCAGTAGCCCCGCCCACGACTTCATGTAGCCATAGCGCTGGTGGTACTCCTCCACCCGCTCGCTGTACGTCAGAGCCGTGTGGTGTGTGTGTCCCGACACAGAGCCGAGGACGTCGTGTCCGTCTAGGAGCTCCTTGCGGGAGTTGTAGCTGCCGCCGGAGCCGCCGTACGGATCCCGGTATGATCCAGGGAGGGAGGGGGAGTGTGGCGGGGAACAGCGCACCCCGTCAGTGGTGCTGCCGTTGTTGTTGTTGCATGAGGACTCAGGCATGGACCAGGCCTTCTTGCTGCTGCGGTTGCTTCCTCTGAAAAAGTTTTTCCAGGAATCTGGGATGAAGCGGTGGACTGGCTTGATGTCGATGGCCGGGTCCGGCTCCAGTTCGGTGTCGCCCTCGCTGCCGCTGGGATCAAACTCCGGGCCGACTGGGGGCTGATCAGGCAGAGGGGGAGGAGGGAGTGGGTCTGAGCTGTTTGCCAGGTGAGGGGCCCTCCCCTCCCTCAGGGGCCGCAGGTCGTAGGACTCTGGGCGGGGCAGGGACTCGTGCGGAACCTGGTCATAATACGGCGCCTGGCGGACACGCTCAGTGCGTCCGTGAAAGCCTCCTCCATAGGACATGAGGATGGTGGTGGTCCCTGCAAAACAAAGACAGGAAGTGAAGAAGGTGCTTCTGGTTGCTCCGGTTACCGAATTGAGTGTCCTGCACACATTGATTTCCAGTGTGACACAAAGCAGAAAGCAGGAGAACAAGGATTATTGGTTCTTCCTTAATTGGCCTTTTTCAAACTTTTATAAGATCATTAAGCAAAACAATAAGTTTATCAATGCTTTAGCTAGCTTACAGTTGTGGTCTGTCGCAATCAGTTCTAAGGTGATGCTAGGTTCAGAACGCAAAAAAAAAAGGTTATGCTGCTTCATTTTTTACGTTTGGCCGCATTAAGGTCTGGCGCTTAAAGAGCAGATTTGATGCTCCTGAAGAGCTTCCAGTAAAGTGTGTCCAGATGCGTCTGATGCTTTTGCTGCTCCTGTTTTCAATGGCAGAGAGCAGTTGTGCTATAATTGCTGTGATCAGTGGATAAAAAGTAGTTTTAATATGTTAAGTAAGAAAACTATACAGTCAGTTCATCAAGATTAACATCCTGCCTTCAAATATTACTTTGCTGTTGGAGCCGTTCAGACCGCCATACATCGGCAATTTCACTGGAAACCCCTGCGAAACAGCAGCCTTTGGCCCGGTCGCCTCTTTGGGGTTTTCCGCTACTGTTCACGGCAGCTGGAAGGCATTTTTCACATACCTAATCCAAACTACAGGCACCAAAATAATAAAATTGAACATGACATTTTAAGTTAATTTAGTCATTAAACTGTTTCAGAGGAGTGATCATAGCGCTCTGCATCAGCAGTGCTGTGTCTCTCCCTGCCAGCTCCCAGATCAGCTTCTCTGATTGGTTGATGTGGCGCGTCCAGCAGCAAGAGTTACATTTGCAGCGTGTCTCTCAGATGCTTACAAGGTCATGAGGCACTGCTTCACTTGCTTTGATGCGTCAAGATGGGCTGCTTCTGCTGCTGAAAATGCACTGCAGGACTTGTTGCTGCGCCTTCATGCGCGTCAACCATTGACTTTACATGTAAACTAGCTGCCTCTGCTGCCTCTAACGCGCACAGTCTGAATGTAGTATGACGATACTAACATTTTAAACTCCATATCGATACACAGGAAAAGAAATACCACTTTTGATACCATGGGAATAAAAAAAAGAAGCCGAATAATTAAAGGCATAAAAAAACTTTAACATGGAAAACTCATCTTTTTCAATCTCAAATGGAACGTGTTTTTTCAACAGAATCACAGATTATTTAAATAGGTGTGCAGATAAACGTTAAATAACCTAAATGTACCAAATTCTACAATATTTTTAAGCTGTTTGAGTTTTTATTTCTTTAATTTGAAAATAATCTTCAAAAAACTAAAACTTACGATAGAAAAAAATATGTAAACACTTGTATTTAGTATCGATACCAAATTAGTTTTTATCCCGATTAGGGCTGAAATCGATTGATCCGATTAATCAACTCTTGAACTGTTGTAATCAATTAATTGTTAACTGGAGTATTGAGACTCCAAAACATGCCTTTAGCTAGCAGAGAGACCCATTAAAGCAGTAATTATATCAAAAGTGTAAGCAAAATATGCAAAAATTTAGCATTTAAGATTAGGTCTCTCAATACGCTCTATCCAGAACTTCTCAAGTGGAGAAGTTTGAGTTTTATCTGGTTTAATTTAGTAAAAACAAAAATCTTTAAAGAACCTCTGGCTATCTGATTATTAATCAAAAAATAATCAATAGATTAATGAATTTGCATAAATAATCTAGTTGTAGTCCAAATCAGAATACAGGGTTTCAGTGTATACTTTTTGCTAACCCCAATCAACTAATTTATTTGCTCAGTTAATGAACTTTTGGATTAACATGGACTCATTAGTTAAATATTGCTGATGCTATGGACTACATGAGGTAAAGGTGTTTGATTAAACAATATCCCTCATATCCCTTTAGAAATCTCCGACAAATTAAAAATATAATTATATTTGCCATTGATTATACATGGTTTCCATGAGTTAAATTCATAGTTTTTACTCGATTGAAATAAAGTTATTCTGATAAACTGAAAAATGTTCCAATGTGTTTTTGTAAATGTATTTTATATATTTTTATAAAAACAGTTAAAAGCTTAACTGATTTTAAAGGTCGTCTGAAGTGACATTTTCACATTACAATTTTAGAAAAAATACTAAATATTAGGGGTGTAATTAATAATCTTTTAGCATCAATGCATCGACGCATCGACACAGCCGCAAGAGTATCGATTCATGATTTGTTTTTTTTCCTCCGGTCTATTTTTATCCATTTGCTCCTGGATGTAATTCTGACTCCCGTGCTGCGGTGGCGCTAAACCTATTGTGCACTCCTACTTCACTTCCTTTAGCCATAGCCACTTGAACACACACTTGCATAAACAGTAGGCAAGACAGACATGGCGGATTCTTGAGTATCGTAAATAATCGAATAGTTGGGTCAAGAAATAGATACGGAATCGAATCGCCATGATTGGTTTGATTTACACCCCTACTAAATATTCTGATCAAATCTTAACCCTCATCCATATTAGTCCATTTATGATATGGATGTAACATTTTTAACTAATGTAACAGAACAGCCAATTAAGTAGGAAATGGAAGAAAAAGAAGAAGAAACTGGAGGATGAAGACTTGAAAACCACTGGTTGATTAAGGAGTACCCAGAGACACCACAGAAAGCACCCTTCAGCCGAAGCCCTCATGATTGAAGAGGTTATCCCTCCATGCAAGCCGGGACAAGAATGCATTTTTGTGCTGCAACCAAATAAGAGGAATTAATTCCTTCCAGGAATGTTGCCACTTACCACTGACTGCTGGACACAGCACAAAAATACATTCTTTACAACCAACCAGACGATTCCCTAGTGTGGAGACGGGTTGAAAAAATATATATGCATGAATACCTTTCACACGCAGTCACTCAACTCGACTTACATTGGCTTGCAGGTCAGAATGCAAACCTTATGAACGTAGGATCACCTGGAGAGACAAACAGAGAGAGAGAAGACATTAGCGGCGGCTCTGAACCTGGGAATGCTGATTGGATAAACGACTGGACGCGTGCAGAGGGGCAACAAATCCTCTGCACCCTGGAGGAAGAAGATTTTTTATTACTATATCATTACTTTAAATCACTTTATAATGGTATGAATGTAACCTACTGTCACTAGGAAAGGAGGTTAAATCAACCAACACCTTTGATGGGACTTTGACATTTCATGTTCACAATTCTGGGTCAAATTTAAAATCACATCATCATAATCACAAATTTGGTCAAATATGTGAAGCTGTTGGAACATAAAGTTCCAGGGAATTGAGCTTTACATTTCAAGATTATTTTCTGATTTTTTATTTTTATTTGGTGACATTTAGAGCAGAATCAGTTTACCTGCAATGAACAAAAAGCATTAATGTCGAAGGGTTTAACAAAATCTAGCAAGGGGCAGCCATATTTCATACAGCGTTTATACAGGAATGAGTCATTTAATGCTTTTTAAAACCCTAGTAAACTAGCCCCACCTGCCAGCAGCCAAAATCATTTTTGCCTGCGGGTTTGTTCTAGCCTCGATTAATGCCCCAGGCCCTAGAACTGGCGGTTTAAAAAACAAAGGGTTGTTCTCATCAACAATCTTCTGATGTCTCATCGGGGCCAAACTAAATTACACATTTAATCTCCCATTTAGTCTGGTTTATAAGGCTAGCTTATATATATTATATTATAAATGACTCATTTATAATATATCTGACCAAATCTTTTTTGTAAAATAAAGCATTTTAAATGCAACTACAATCACATTTAATGATTTTTAATGACCTGTGAAACCCCTGTTATAATTATTTTATACTATGTTTTTCATTGTTTCATCTTTCACACTCTTTAGTCTTTTGATTAATAATCTTTATCAGGGAAGTGAGGTTGTATTTTTGTTTAGACTGATATAATACAATGGCCTACTTGTCCACCTTATTTCAAATGTTGCAATTACTGTTTGGATGTAGAGGCCTCAGTTTTTATAAAGGTTACTTTCTTGAGAATCAATAAAGATAAAATTATCAAAATTTAGCAAGTAAGCATTGTAGAGCCAAGGCTCTTGCTCAGGGATCCAGAGAAGCAATCTTTGGGACCAGAACCAGGAAACTCGAAGCCTTCCCAAAACCATTAGACTGCCACTCCCTGATTGCACAAATACAATTGTGCCATTGTAATACAGAGTGAGAACAGGAACGATTTAAAAAAAGACACAAAATAATCAACAATTACAAACTTCCAAGTAATTTAGCACAAGAAATCTTTTTATACATAAACCAACTGGAAAAATCATTGGCTCAGAATTTGTCAATTCGTTTTTTAAACAAGCCAACGTGTTAAAATGAACTTTGATTGAACCATAAAGAAAATACACATGACTGTAGTTTTTAGTCAATCCAGCTTCAGAGACATCTAAGGTTTTCTGTGTGGGTCTAACTAATAACTATAAACTAACTAGAGTTAAGGCTGATTTATACTCAGAAACCAGGTAGCCTGCATGTGTGTCGCAGTGAATGCAAATGTTTGGTACCTTACCGGCTTGTTTTGTTTGTATGACCGCCATTGTGGAAAACAACTCATGAAGTTGGACCAGCTAGAAGAGCAAGGTGAGCTAGAACACTAGGGCCCTTTTTCCACCTGGATCCCCGCTCTTTTTCACCCTCATGTCCCTCCGTTGTCGCACAAACCTGCCCCCACTTCCTCACCGCCTCGGCCGTATCTAAACCCACAGCTAGTTCCTGATTGTCCCTCTTGTGCTCTAGCATGGAGTAACACAGCACAGACCATGCTTCAATATTGGGCATAAATCAAAAATATCTGCATCAAGCTCACTGCGACACACTGCTGCGGGAGAATAACCAGCCCTTTAGACTAACTACTAACTCTAAAGCTAACAGCTTTAGAGACATCTAAGGTTTTCTATGTAGGTCTAAAGATCTGAGTGTCTTTCTCTCGCTGCACCTAAGAATCCTCAGGATCCTGTTGCAGATGTTGTGAGTAAATTGGCTACAATTTGTTTCAAATTCAGTTCTTTTTGATTTGCATAATACGTGTTCTGATGCCTAGGGCTGTGGAGGAAGAAAAAAAATCGATTCAGCAATATATTGTGATTTTTGGCAGCCCAATATAATAACCATCTTTCAGTTCCTACTTTGATTTAAAAAATAAATAAATAAAAACATATTTAAGTAAAACAATGAGGGGAAAAAAGCTGAAAGTGCAGAATTATAAATATACACTCAAATTACTGTTTTTGTGTATTTTTTACCATTTTTCAAGGCTGCACTTAAAAAAAATGAAATAGTCTAGAGCAGGGGTTTTCAAAGTGGGTGCCGCGGCACCTAGGGGTACCACGAGGTCACTACAGGGGTGCCGCAGGATTTTTTCATAGATTGATGAGAGTTTTATATTGAATGTACATTTTTACATTTTAACAATTTTGTAAATTTATTTTGATGTAAGCAAATATATTCTAAGGCGAGGGGCTTCATTTTGTGTTTTCTTTACTACTTTAAAAAAAATGATAGAAAAATAATTATTATCAAATAATGTCAAATAATCATTATAAGTTTAGGGGTACCACGGCTGGGTGGAAAAATGTGTAGGGGTACCTTGAGCCAAAAAAGTTTGGGAACCACTGGTCTAGAGGGCTGTTCTTAACAAAAAAAAAAAATTGTTTACACTTCTGAATACAAAATGACAAAATAAATCTGTCTAAGCCTAAGAAACTGGGCTCCCTCTGCACCGCCACCCTATCAGATAGCGCTGTGGAGCCTTTTTGGTATGTAGTGCCTTATCTGTAGTCAAGGCAGTCACAGTGGAAGATGTAGACCAGAGGTCACGGATTAGCGGACTAACAATACTGCATGAGTTTCGACGACAGTGTCTAACTTCACTAGCGCCACTTCTGTTAATACGGTAAAACCCTCTGTAGCATCCAGGACCAGGCTGCACGTGATACAAATGATCCAATGAGCTGCTGTCAGTCTGGGTTGCTGCTACTGCTACTTTTAGACACAGCAGGCAAACCTGTGGTTAGCCGGGCGATGGGAAAGAAGGAGAAGATGATGAGAAAAAGAGAGCAGAGAAAGTGTGGACTGCTGGAAGAACCGCAGTGGAGCCCTTTTTTCCTTCCATTTAACAATCAATCAATCTGCTTGGACCGTGCACTTTAAAAGTTGGCCTCTTTTGTAACGATTTGTTTTTGCTCATGACTTATTTTTTGGTAAAACAAAGTAACATTTGCATTAATTTTATTTTTGTACTATTGGCGGTCTAAATACAACACACCGTATGTTTAACTGGGTGAGTTTTCGCTGGGGTTAAACCATAATCACCATTAAAAAAAAAGACAGACAAATGACATACATTCAACTAAGTGTAAGTGGACAAATAGAATAGAATAGAATAGAATAGAATAGAATAGAATAGGAAATCCCCTTATTGTCCCACAATGGGGAAATTCTGGTGTTTACAACAGCAAAAAGATTCTAGAAAAAAAATGGACACAAAATTTTGGACCTCAGAAAAATGTATAAGAATAACACACTAGTGAAGAAATCAAATAGAAATAATAAAATACTGCACTGTAAAGTGTTTTAAAGGAATAGTACACCCAAAACATGATTAGCCTTCATTTTCTACTCACCTCCATGCTGAACAACACCCTGGAGTACTTTTTTGATATCTCAAATGCATCTGGAGATCTGGGAGGCTTCTTGCTGTCTGCTGACATTCAAATAATGGAGGTCTATGGTGACCGAGACAGAAAGGTCCATAAAAGCCCACAAAAAACGTGTCAATATTCCTCCATACTGCTCGTCCAATGTATTCCAAGTGTCCTGAGTGGGTAGCATCCAGAATTTACTCGAAACCAAGTCATTTAGAATGTTTTTAGAGCATAAACAGTAGTGTATAGGATTTCCTAAAAGCTTGTTCACGAGTCTACGGAAACCGCGGCAGACCAAACCAGATGAAAGTGCGCATTCAGCGTCTGCTCTGCCGATAATGCAAGCGTAGAAGAAGAAATGTGCTGTTTACCTGTGCAAAGAAAGAAACAACGAAAGAAAAATGTCTGAGGACTTCGGTGTTGAGGAAGAGCAGGAGTTCTTTGCCGAGCTGAATGCGCACTTTCGTCTGGTTTGGTCTGCCGCGGTTTCCGTAGACTCGTGAACGCGCTTTTAGGAAATCCTATACACTACTGTTTATGCTCTAAAAACATTCTAAATGACTTCGTTTCGAGTAAATTCTGGATGCTACCCACTCAGGACACTTGGAATACATTGGACGAGCAGTATGGAGGAATATTGACACGTTTTTTGTGGACTTTTATGGACCTTTCTGTCTCGGTCACCATAGACCTCCATTATTTGAATGTCAGCAGACAGCAAGAAGCCTCCCAGATCTCCAGATGCATTTGAGATATCAAAAAAGTACTCCAGAGTGTTGTTCAGCATGGGGGTGAGTAGAAAATGAAGGCTAATCATGTTTTGGGTGTACTATTCCTTTAACAATATAAATACTGTGCGCCTGGAGAATAAATAACCAATATACATGGACATTTTTACAGTAACTGATATTTGCAAATAGCAGCAACTTACAAAATAATTACAGAATTTATGAAGAATATTTTAGAAAAGGTTGAAAAATGACTGTGTTGGTTTAAAATAGCTGATCTGCCAATTTGGATTGTGACCGACACAGATATTTACCTGTGGAACAACAGAAAGTTTTTTTTTTTTTTAAGTCAAAAAAAAAAAGCTTAGAGCAGGGGTTCTCAAGAGCTTCCATCCGCTAACTTTTAGATGCAAATCCCTTTTTAACACGCCTCAATCTTAAGGCTTAATCCCTCATTTAGCTGAGCAGAGTCAATTTAACAAGCCACTAATTTGATTTAATTGTGTTAAAAATAGGTTGCATCAAAAAGTTGCAGGAAAGTAGCTCTTAAGGGCTGGACTTCAGCATCCCTGGTTTAGATCATCACAGCTGCAGATTTTTTTGTAGACCTTTGCAGTGGTAAATAAAAGATATACAACTTTGATATTCTAATTGACTCTGACACATCCATGTTTGTTAAAAATATGTTTAAGGGCATTTTCTATTTCCCCTTTACATTTTTCAAAACAGTACAGCCTTGCGTCAAAATTCTGTTTTTCATGCAATAATAAAAAATCTTTAAAATGCCAATAATACATGTCAGAGTTGTTCATTTTGACTGATGACTGCTGTAATCTCCGCAATATGGTGTACTTATCTCTAGACAGAATAATACAAAACACCAAAGTTGTCTAATATGGAAAGCCATTTCATTCAAAATTAAATTAATACACGAATAAATAAATAAATGCTGCAATTCAAAAATTACTAGTAAATGAAATAAATAAAAAAATAACACAATCAAGCAAAACTAAATAAATGTTAAGACATCTTTTATACCATATTTATATATCATGTATTTCAAGAATTATCTATTTTATTATATACTTTTTATTACTTTTATTTTGTAAAGCTACTTTAAATATTTCAGTTACTTTTGTTTTTTAATCCTTTTTCATTTTAAACTCTTTTTATTTCATTTCATAAATATCAAGACATGTTTTATACCATATTTATCTGTCATTTATTTCAAGAGTTATTTACTTTATTATGGAATTTTTGTATTTTATCTTTTAATGCTACTTTACATATTTCAGTGACCTTTGTTTTCTATCCCCTTTTTCATTTTAAGCTCTTTTTATTTCATTTCATAAATATTAAGACATGTTTTATACCATATTTATGTTTAATTTAAACCAAGAATTATTTATTCTATGATAGACTTTTTACTCTTATTTTGTAAAGCTACTTTAAATATTTCAGTAAGTTTTGGTTTTTTTAACCCATTTTTCATTTCAAACTCTTTTTATTTGATTTCTTAAATATTAAGACATGTTTTATACCATATTTATGTGTCATTTATTGCAAGGCTTATTTTATTATGGACTTTTTTTACTTTTATTTTGTAGAGCTACTTTACATATTTCAGTGACTTTTGTTTTTAACCCCTTTTTCCTTTTAAGCTCTTTTTATTTAACTTCATAAATGTTAATACTATAATGTTTTATACTATATTTATGTTTCATTTATTCCAATAATTATATATTTTATTATGGACCTTTTTTTACTTTTATTTTGTAGAGCTACTTTACATATTTCAGTGACTTTTGTTTTTAACCCCTTTTTCCTTTTAAGCTCTTTTTATTTAACTTCATAAATGTTAATACTATAATGTTTTATACTATATTTATGTTTCATTTATTCCAATAATTATATATTTTATTATGGACCTTTTTTTACTTTTATTTTGTAGAGCTACTTTACATATTTCAGTGACTTTTGTTTTCTAACCCCTTTTTTCTTTTAAGCTCTTTTTATTTCCTGTCTCATAGTCTGAAGGAAACAGCAGTATATCCCAATAAGCAGAGAAAGAGTCCAACATGTTTCCAGAATAATCAGAGCAGTGTTTGCAGTGGAGGAGGCCTGAGAAAACAATAACCCTCAGGGAGAGCAGCTGGTGCCTCCAGAAGTAATTTCCTTAACTTTATCAACTTCTTTCCGTGTTTTATGTCTAATTTCAGATGTAATACGCGCTACATTTGGACTTTGGCTAATTTAACAGCTTTTAACTGGTAACAATGGCAGCGGAGGAGTAAAGTTCGCTCCAAGTGGCCGCGTGCCATTAACAGCTGACTTTTTAACTTTAACGGTCAAAATAAATCCTCCCTGTTCGCACCGAGCTCACAGATAACTTCTTTACCATCGCAACGGAGCAGGAGAGCAGAGGGAGGCCGCTTACCTTGTTCGCTTTGCCTCCTTCCTTTCTTTTTCTTCTTCCTTCCATTTCAGTAATATTAAACCGCAGGTTTCTCTCGGACTCGATCACGTGACTCGCCCATCCCAATGACGTCATGGCGCAGATGGGGGTAGTTTACCTGTGGCTGAGTTTCAGCAAAACACCTGAGACACACGCTCACTTACTCACTATGAGTCAGCCAGCAGCGGATATTATAGTGCATTGCAACGGAATAATTTAACATGAAGAATAGAATAGAATAGAATAGAATAGAATAGAATAGAATAGAATAGAATAGAATAGAATAGAATAGAATAGAATAGAGCATTGCAACGAAATAAATTAACATGAACAATAGAATAGAATAGAATAAAATAGAATAGAATAGAATAGAATAGAATAGAATAGAATAGAATAGAATAGAATAGAATAGAATAGAATAGAATAGAATAGAAAATCCTTATATTGACCCACAGTGGGGAAATTCTGGTGTTACAGCAAAAAGATTCTAGAAAAAGAATGATCACACAAATGTGGACCTTAAAAATAACAATGACATACTAGTAAAGAGTTAACAAATAAACAAATAAAATACTGTACTGTAAAATGTTTGTGCACCTGGAGAATAAATAACCAATATACAGCTATGGATATGTTTGCAGTAATGGATATTTGCATCAGAGATGTGCAAAATGACAGCTGCATATTATTTAACTAAGATAGAAACTGTACAAAGTCATATAGTCAATATAAATAAATGATTAAGATATGATGATCACTGAAATTTGGATTGAAAATTGAAATTGGATTTAACTAATAATGAATAATTATCACAGTCAAAGGTGTGTTTAAACTATTGCGTTTTTATTCTCGATTGGAAACAAATGAGCATTTCAGCACCTTTTGTATTTTTCTGGGAGTTTATTCCAGCAGTGACGTCACGGTACGGTAAGCCTAGCGCCATTCTCCCCGCTTTACAAGCAAAATCAGTGGGAGCTACTAGAGACATCTGCAATCAGCAACTGTTATCGAAGATTTCCAGAGGACTTCACCATTGAAATTCACCAGAGCTATAGTGAAACTGACAATACCAACGTGCATGGCAGTTGGACGTGCTAATATATCGGGTAAAAGTGAAAAAAGAACAGTAGTGTCCAAAGTGCACACATTTGTTACTTAAGTAGAAGTATAGATGCTGCAGTTTAAAAACTCTTTGGTAAAAGTTGAAGTATTAACTTGACTTCTTTACTCAAATAAAAGTTAAAAAGTATGTGCTCCAAAAACTACTTAAAGTATAAAAGTATAAAGTAACCTTTAAAAAACCACCCAGATAACACTATATGAATTGAAAGCTCAATTTTTTTTTAAAATTCTTTGAGATGCGAGTAGTAACAAGTAATGTTTGTTTTAAAAATGTAAGGAATAGAAAGTACAGATATTTAGTATAGGTACCTAAAAAGGGTACTTAAGTACAGTAACAAAGTATTTGTTCTTTGTTACTTGACATCTCTGAAAAAGAAGTAGTAGAAGTTACTGAGGTTGTTGGATTGCCAACTTGAAGAGGGAGGATTTGCCATCGAACTTCTGGCCAAAGAAAAAACCCGTAATATGTAGCCAACATTTGGAAGAAGAATGTTTTCAAGATGACTTGGATAATAGCGCGTTGTGACAAACACCGGATACAGCACTGGGACTTGATCACGGAAGGGTTTGTTAGCCTGTCAATTGTGGCAAATAAGACCTTGTTGATGTTTTTGCTGATGATCTCAGAGCAGAAATATTCTCTTGCATTTTTTCACTTGTAAGTCTGTTTCATAAATGTGATTGTGAACCTAGAGTCCAGTTTTTCGTAGTCTTCATTTATCTTGTCGACAACCCTTTTCCCTTTCCTGATTGGTGGAGCATTTCTTCACAGAGGCCTTTTATTTCCTGAAACCACTCACCACAAAAACAGGCAGAAAAAACAAAAATATGACTCATGAAATGGTCAAAAGGAGCTTTCAAATAAAATGATCCCTCATATTGTGAATTTCGCTGTGTTTTACCTGTAGCGGCATGCTTGTTGAACCAAAGTTTATGTTTTTGGAGTCTGAGGTTTATCCAAACTCTTTGGCTGTGTAAAACAACTGAAGAAGATAAAATCACTCAAAGCATCCTTGATTAATTCAACCAGATCAATCAATCAATCAGTTAATTAATCAATCAATTTATCTTTATTGTGAACTACAATTTGCATTGTAATAAAGATTTCAGTTTCAGTACAAACTGTTCATAAGACCCTATTAAGTGTTGCTTTTGATTAACAATTTAAAGTTAATACATTAATTGTTGTAGCTTTGCCTCGTCTGTTCCTGTTTGGCTGTGACTCCATTCTGGAGAGAAATATCAGCTGTGCTGCTGCCATCAACACCTTTGTTTATAGATGTTGGAGATCGGCCTGTTTTCCAGTGTGGTCCTGTTTCTCTGGCCGTGACTGAGTGGATGTGCTCTCTTCGTCCTCTGACATGGGAGCTGGCTCGGAGCTCGTCTGCCTGGCTGTGTGTTTCCTGGATGGGGCCGCCTTTTACAGCTGCTTTTTGTATCTCTGCTTCTGTCTCCTTGAACCCCAGTCGGCCTCAGCAGATGGCCGCTCACACTGAGTCTGGTTCTGCTGGAGGTTTCTTCCTGTTAAAAGGGAGTTTTTCCACTCCACTGTCGCCTCAAGCATGCTTAGTGTGAGGGATTGTCTTCGAGTCAATGAGTCGATGCAATCAACTGGTTTTCCTTAGATAGAAAACTTTGAATCAATTTGACTGTATGATCTGGTGAACTGTAAAGTGCCTTGAGATGACGTGTGTTGTTCATTGGCACTATATAAATAAACTGAATTGAATTGAATTAACTGATTTTGAATTCAAAGATACAATTTATCATTTCCTGCCATTAATGATCAAGCTGGTAAATTAATTATGGTTATTAGTAATATTCTCATTGGGAAATATATTAACAGAATGAAATTGATCTTGTTCATTTACATTCATGTTTCTTTGTATTATTTGATGTCCTTTTATTTTAATATTGGCAATTTTGGAATTTTTTTTACACTATTTTTAAATAAATGTTTCCAAATTTAGTGTCTGGAGTATATATCTGTAAAGAAACTTTCTACACATCATTAATCGTGTTCTCAGGTGCTGAACGCAGCGGTGGATTAAGTGACTGCTTAGCACCCCATGACAGTAACGGGTCCCCAAGAAAAATAAAAATTTTTGTTATATATATATATATATATATATATATATATATATATATATATATATATATTTGGAAAATCTGTAAAATATGCCCTAAAGTTATAATTCAGATTCTGATTTAGACTGCAAACAACAGTTGTTTTCTTGAAATCAAAATCCATCAATTGTTCTTATTGTCATGATGGGTATCATGACAAGCCCAAGATGCAGAAACACACACGGAGAAACTGGGTAAAAGTCCAAAGAGTTTATTGTGGCACAAACATGAGTAATGGGAAGGGAACAGTTCAGGCAGGAGGCTGATTCACTGGGGTCTGTGCAGGGAACGGGGAATGGCTGGATTACTGAGATCTCGAGGGGCTAAGCCTCTAGCTGTATGCTTAGCTAGGCTAGCTAGGATTTGAGCTTCCAGCTCGACGCAGAGAACAACAGGGGAAAACACGGAGGCTCTTTCAGGCTGAGCTTCCAGCTCAACGTAGGGAACTACAGGGGAAATCCACATGGGAACCTCTTGGGAAACTCCTCAGAGAAGTAGTCAGGTTTCATCCACGTAGAGATCTTCGGTTGGCTCACCAGGGCAGATTAGCCGGTTAGACCTTCCAAGAGCTTCAGGCTTGAGACTGGTTTCCTGGGATGCTGCTCTCCCTGAGCTGCTGACCTGAGACAGGGTTCCAGTGAGGTTGCTCTTCCTGAGCTTACGAAGGAGACAGGTGGTTAAGCTCATCCAGAGCATTCACGAGGAGACAGGAATCCTGTGAGGCACAGATAAAGGAGAGATTAGAATGTGATCTCAACCTAGAGACAACCAAGACTCAATCTGAAACTGAAGGCTCAGGAAGCTAACCAACTAAGATCAGCCACAGGTGTGTGAGAGGCTCAGCTTCAGGAGGACCCACGGCGCACTCTGTTGGAGGCAGAGGGTAATCTCCAGAACCTGACAGTGACTCCAGCCCTAAGAGAAAAGAGACAAAAGAGAGCAGAAGAGGATCCTCGGCGCCCTCTGGTGGGCAAGCCTGAGGATCCCAACAGAGCCCCCCCCTCAAGGGCGGATTCCAGACGCCCCCTGAAAAAAAAAAGTCAAAAAAACAAAAAACAATCCACCAAGGGCGGGCGGAGGGGGCACTAGGGCGAGGAGGGCCAGAAACAACAAAAAAAAAGGTCCAACAAACAAAAACAACCCACCCAGGGCGGGCGGCGGGGGCACTAGGGCAAGGAGGGCTAGAACCAACAGAAAAAGGTCCAGCAAACAAAAAACAACCCACCCAGGGTGGGCGAAGGTGGAAACAGGCCAGGAGGGCAGAAAACAAAACCAGAGTCCAGAACAAAAAACGATCCACTTATGGTGGATGAAAACAAAAGAAAACCCAAAAACCCTCTTGGGCAAAGTCTCTGGTGGCCGGCCGAGGGACCGGCGGCGGGACACAGTCTCTGGTGGCCGGCCGAGGGACCGGCGGCGGGACACAGTCTCTGGTGGCCTGCCGTGGGGCCGGCTGCAGGACACAGTCTCAGGTGGCCTGCCGTGGGGCCGGCTGCAGGACACAGTCTCAGGTGGCCTGCCGTGGGGCCGGCTGCAGGACACAGTCTCAGGTGGCCTGCCGTGGGGCCGGCTGCATGACACAGTCTTAGGTGGCCTGCTGTGGGGCCGACGGCGGAGGCGTAGTTGCTGCTCAGGAAGTCGACCGTTGAGATGAAGGTGGGGCAGCGTCTTAGGGGGACCACCGCCGGGCCGGAGACACGGATGAAGTTCAGGAGACCGGTCTACCATCCGGCAACGGAGCAGAGTCTTAGGTGGCCGGCAGCGGGGTTGAAGGCGACGCTGATACTCTGGGGGTATGCCATGGGGTCGACGGTGAAGATGATGCTCCGAGGGTCTGCCGCGGGACCGGAGGCGAAGCTGACGCTCAGGGG